GTGCATGCCACTAGCAATAACGGCGCTCAGCTGCTGGCAGTTAGTTTGCTTGCCAATCTTCGTTAAAACTGTTATATTAGAGTGTGCTGGTAAGGTGGAAGGAATTCGAAGGAATTATTTGAAAATGTTTATCCACCCAGTTTCTGGAAATGTCAAGTATTTTGTTTTTAATTTGTTTTAATTAACGTTTTGATGACAATGCATTGAGTTGGTTTGCGGTGGATAACGAAGACCGAAGTACATATGTTTTTATTTATTTTATAACAGATATAAATAAATCGAAATTTAAGGAAAAATATGTTAGTTAGTTATTATAGAAATTGAGTTATAATGGACAACGTTCGAATAATAAGGTTGGTTAAGTTAGGCTGGTAGTCAAATGAGCCATACATATCACAGTTTTGGTCCCTTGCGTTGCCAGATGGTTTTCAGTTACTACGTCCATACGGAGCAGTCGTCCTTTCGGATCTCTGCGCTTGACGCAAATTTCAACAGCCTTTGTAGTTTCACTATCGATTCCTCATGTTTACAAAAGTGTGTGTCAAAGAATAAAAACAAAAAATTGTTTTACACAATTTTTTACAATTTATAAAAATTACGACTTCCACTAGAGGTTTTTCAATTTATATTTCGGAAAAAGAAATGTCGGTATCTACTTGAGTTCGTCTTCTGTACACAAGTTATATACTCAATATATCTATTTTTTATATATTATATAAGCCAACCAACTTTTTAGAAGACATCAAATAAGCCACACTGCAAAACCTGAATTTACACATTCTCTATATATAACCATCTCTATTGGGATCTCTTGCAGAATATCTCCATTTCAAGCAGAATTTTCTGACACTTTAATTTCTAAAAGGAGGACACTTTTATCTTCAAAATGTTCATCACTTTTGGTAAGGATATGCAGTGACAAAAAACATTGATGAATCGACTACAAGACCCTGTTTTAAAATTCGAATGTATATAGCCATTTTAGGGATAATCTAACCTTAAATAAAATTCTATTCAACTTTGTTTCAGGTTAGCCAAGGTATGCTCTAATATTTCTCAGTTTTTTTTAGTCTAAACGTAATAATGAGGAATATTCTCTCAACAAATGAAATCGAAAGTTCAACAAACTTTAAGCCATACTTAATAACGGGAATGGTCTGCTAGTATTGAAACTATCTCAAACACAGAGAGAGAAGTTCGCGTATTAACAAATCTAAAGATACTATATGGGGTCTTCGATGATTCCTTCTGGATTTTGATGATAAGAAGACTTTTTATCAAGAAGCAATCTTTATGAAAGTTTTGACCAGTTTTAATATATTAAGTATTTCAAAGTAAGAGATATAAAAATCAACGAGAAATGTACGCTATTATTACACCGTTTTCGTTATTACCTTTTAAACTTATATTTACAATGCTGATAATATCAGAGATGAAAAGAGAGCTCTGAAGATTATTTGTTATAAAGTCATAGTCGAATATTGTGATCTAGACATGTAGATCAAGTGTTAAATATAGTTTGGAATACTCTCATAATTCTACACATCTTTTCAATTATTAAGAAATAAAATCTGATACACAAGCCGTAATTTGTGGCAACACTTTTAGCAAACACACCAGAGAACTATTTAATTACTGCTATTTGAGGTAAAGTTTTGGCTACTATCAAGGAATTCATCAAGGATCCCAGCAAGTTTATTGCTGCTGTTGAAACGACGGAAACGCCAAAATGGATGAGTGGGAGTCAAAAGACAATAACGATAGCGATTACGGCTTCTGCGACTAAACAGCTCAACACTAAATCTGAGTTAATTTTTGTGCACACCTGAATCCTCGTCTGAAAATATTCGAACTCACTTAAATTACCGAAAAAAAAGCTTAATATTTATGTAAATAAATTTGATTTTATTCATTGATGAACTGCAGCTTAGCTACTTGATGCCGGAGTATACTGAAAATATGCAATTTATCGTTGTTTAATGGGTCGATAGAAGATACTGTAGGATCATGATGGGAATACCAACTGGTCAGTGTCTTGTGGCGACACATGTCCGCAAAATGGGGCTAAACTAACGAGAAGACTGCAAGAAATGTCTACAGCAGGGCACCAAGGAAACAATGGAGCTTTCCTTATGCACTTGTGTCGCATTGACAAGACTACGCAGTACGCGTCTGGTGTCCCCACGGTATCACAGTGTATCATTGGAGGAGGTATTTAGAGACCGCAGAGTCTGTTAAAATTCGCGTGAAGAATGACTAATCATCTTGGACATAGCGATTGTACTCCATTGGAAAGAATCAAAACTGGTCTATGCGTGACTTATTTGCCTAGAAAAATACCCTTACCTAACCTAACTATAATGGGATTAGTCATCTTCTGGCTGCCGTATATTAAAAAAATTTCCTTACATTAGCCTCCAACACTTATAATCTTAAATTAATAGAAATAAATGATCTCGTATCGTGGTTTTAGTTCTTCACAGAATTTTTTCCACTTTATAATCCCACCATTACGAGTAACTAGTGTAAGTTCAGCGGACCTGCGCCACTTTTCGACTATTTCTCGGAAATAACTGTTTAGTTTTATTTAATTTGAATCGACTGTCCGCATGAGATTTCAAAAGCAAGTAGCTCGAGTTTCAGGATATTTTTGCCGCAAACGAGAGCCAAGCAAAGGCAGAACTAAGCGCTTTAGTTTCGAGCAAAGTACATAAGAAGATAAAGGCACAAATAACAAATTGTGCACATATCTTTTGCAATATATGATATATATTTGTACAATACGTATGTATGGGTGCAAATACATACTTACATATATGGTGTTTAAAGAGCACATTTGAGGTATTGACGGAGTCTTGCACAAATTTGGAAGTATAATGCACAAAAAAACGCATGTCTGCGTAGACTATGTACACTTGCCATGTAAATATATATGTATTTGTGGTAAATATAGATAGCGCATTTGCTTTTTGTTTAGTGTATTTCGCTTAGCAAATGAAGATTTAGTGGTCATGTGCAGTGCTTACGACAGCATTTGCACTAGTTATTGTCCGTTTGTCCCTTAGTCTTATATATCTGTACACACATACATATATTCGCATCTATAGAGAAATAGTGAGTCTACAAATGCATTTATAATACAGACATGCAAGCTCGTGAATGGAAAAGCAGTGCATCTTGTATAAAGCATATGCGCATAAGTTAGTGCCTCTCTTCATTTTATATACATACATATATTGCATACTATATATGTATGTACTTATATGTCTAGTTAGTTACGCTTCGTGTATTTACTTAGCTGATATTTGCTTTGGCTTCCTTGATGCCCTCTGCTTTACACAGCTTATTGGTCTAGTCATTAGAGTTACTCGTAAACAGATTTGCTATTTAGATTACACTAAGTGACAGCCGTCGGAGCATGCTTTTTTATATTCCTGCTAATCCAGACGAGCATATTTGGAGGCATTCAAAGCTATGAAAGGGAAACTTAAGTGCACATACTTGTGGCTTAATGATCACTTAATCAATTAATACCAAATAATGCACTTTGATTTGGTTGTTTTGCTTTTTAAAGCATATATTTAGACCCTTCAAATCACCTAGTACCTAGTTTCATTTTGAATCCAAAGAATCTGAAGACAAAACAAAAATCATTTATTTCAGTTTTCCATTTAAAAGTCCCTGCCGGTTTGAGACATCAATGAAATTCTTTATTCCTGTGAAAGTCGATGCCATTATGTATGGAACTCAATTTATTTTCCATGGCCACGACGCTCACGCTTGCAACGTCCAGATACTGTACCCAATTTTCGACGGTTTTCAAGCGTAAATCGTCCGATGCTGTTATAATTTCACGTTCGATATTTGCACCAAGTTAATCAATCATCGTTGGCTTGTTAGCATAGACCATAGGCTTGGCGTAGACCCATAGAACATAGCCTCACGGCGTCAAATCGCACGACTGCGGCGGTCAATTGACTGGCCCATTTCGTGAGATAACACATTCACCAAAATTGATTTTCAATAAATCGATTGTGACATTCGCTGTGTGGCTTGTGTCGCCGTCCTATTGGAATCACATATTGTTCAAGTCTCTATCATCTAATTTGGACCAAAAATATTCGGTTATCATTGAGCTGAAGAATATTCATTGACCATCACGAAAAAAGTACTGCCCAACGAGGCCGCCGAGCCATAAACTGCACAAAACCGTAATTTTTCCGGTATCAGTGGTGACTCATGGCGTATGTGTGGATTGCTGCCTCAGCAATACAGTTGCTTAGCCCAATTCATGAACATACGACGACACTGGTGGTCCAGCGGCTTCAGTATGCGTCAATTTGACCTTGTCAGGCTGTAGGTCAAGATTTTTTGGCAAAATTCGCCACAATGACGTCACATAGACGCCCAACGCTTAAGAACGACGAGTGAGAGACTGATTTGGGTCTTCCTCAATTGATGCGCTGGTGGAAGCAATATTCTCGACACTACGGGCACTTGTTTGTCTCACTAGCACAGGAACATTTTGTACTGTACCTGTCGATTCAATTTTTTCCACAAGACGCTCAATTGTTGACCTGACAGAACGATTATGTCTACCACTGACCCCGAATTTNTTTTTCCACAAGACGCTCAATTGTTGACCTGACAGAACGATTATGTCTACCACTGACCCCGAATTTCGGTGGTAAATTTTAATAATTTGGACTCGTTGTTGGATCACATGTCTTTCCATGGTGAAATGGCAAGCTGTATTGAAAATAAATGTAAAAAGGAGGGGGGAAAATATGGCGCAGTTTGTTGTCCCTATCGGTCTACTCTAGTAGCGTCCCTATTGAAACACCCATTACTTCAGTTAATTTTTCTTGTTTTTTTTTTTCTTTCCTCCTTCATAATTTGAATAATAATTATCTACGCAAGTAAGAAACACTTATTACTTATAAATATCTCAACAAAAGCTCAAAATTTATAACTTTCACCCAATTTCTCTTATTTTACAGCTAATCAGCAACCAAACGTCCCTTTTTCCACAGCGTAAGCAGTTACAGCAATCATGTCTAAAAGAGAGCGACTATTTCACGAATGGTTCAATCTGTTCGCACTGATCTGGATGATAATCACCGACATATGTTTCAACGGTAAGTAACAGTAATTAAGCATTTGCATATTCATCGTGCATAAATTACGCACACAGTCACCAATATAAAGTAGCAAACAACATTAAAGGAATGCGAGAAAGTAAAAGAGCGCACGATAAATGTGTTAATAGACTTTTAAAATATATTTGTTTTCCTTCGTTTTTTTACACAATTTCGAAATGCAAATTGTAAGCTGCCAGCTGCTGAAATAATTTACGAAAACACGCCATCACACATACATATGCAAATGTGTTGCACTTACTCGTTTACTCGTTTTTTATGCGCGCAGATTTTTTAATCACCCTTTGCGCAAATGAAATGCATTTATTTATTTGTATGCCATTAAAATTCCAAATATCGCAATTTATTAAATGCGTTACCCGAGCCAATAAAACAGGACTCGAAAAAACACACAGAAAAGCTTAAAATTTCATGTAGCGCGAAAAAAATTGGTGAATATTTATATGGATAAATTGAGTTGTGAAACATTTGCTCGGCGTCGATAAACACTCGACAGCGCGAACTTGGCAATAATTTCACGCAATGCAGTGCATAAATGTCAGTAGAAACTACCGCATTATTTCTCTGGAGAAAAAAATGCGCCAATGAAATAGTGATGAAGTGGTTGCATTAGGGTCCGTAGAGCTTTTCTTTGTAAACCTTATTCAATAGAGAATCATTCTTAAGAACTTTTGATTTCAACTCCAAATTGGAATTTTTGCTTTCGAATTAAGCACTTTATTCAGCTACAATTCTTCTCAGTTGAATAAGTGCTGCTCGCCAAGAGGCTTGAAATGTCTGGTTGGGAGTTATACTATAATATATAATACTATGAAAGACAAGCGTAAGATGCACGTATATAACTAATTATGACTGATGATTATCACTGATCGAGTATTGAAAAATTCTTTAAAATTTATAAATTCACCAAATAAACACTTCCAATACAAAAGAGAATTATAGCAACGGTTTTATCACATAATATGCCGAATTAAATCTCAGTCTCAGATCGACTATTGGAGAAATTTCCTGTCTCGCATGTGGAAATCTGAGATTCGAAGAGCTGATTATACGAAAGTGAGAGTCAGAAGCATCTATTGCATGCTCGAATAATTAAGAGAGTAGTAGACTTCTCCTTGAGGAAATGGGAAATAAATTTTCGAGCACTTGATCACTTCAACAGTCACTCGCTAAGCAAATATCGTCCATTTAAAAAAAAAAATAAAGTTCTTCAAAATCTTTTTCTCTTGAAAAGCTTTTAAATTAAAGGGAAAACAATTTAAAGGGCATGTGCTTGTAATGCTTGGACTTTGATTAGAAGTTTGAATTTCTGCGGCCAAATTTATACATTACAAGAATATTTGTTGGAAACATGGCCTTCCACTATTCACAATTTAACCTTTAATGTTCCCTGGTTTTAAGAGACCAGTGCAGAAGCCTCGATAAAATCATACAAAAGAAAAACAATCGTAGTACTCATCACTATGGAGGAGGCTTGGGTCTATCATCATGATCTTAAATCAAAACAAGAGGTTAAAAGTGGTATGAGCCTGGTTGTTCGGCTTCGAAACGAGTTAGTGTCCGAAAATCGTCCAAGAAAGTTATGGCATCAGTTTTTTGGGATGCGAGAGAAATTTTGTTTATGGATTACTTGTCAACTGGTAAAGCAATTATTTCTGAATATTTTTGCAACGGTTTGCAAAAGAAAAATATCATTATTCATTAGGACAATGCACTTTGTCATAAGAGCATTTTGATAATGGCTAAAATCCGTGAATTAAAGTTCGAATTGTTGAAGCATTCTGATTCTCACTTCAGGGATGTGATCCACAGATTGGAGGATCATTGAAGCAAGTGTATTAATATTCAGGGAGATTATACTGAATAATAAAGGGTATTTTGAATCATAAAATTGAGTGTTTCTTATCAAAAGTGAAAACCTATTGAACAACCTGGTACGTACGTTGTATAGGGAACCTAATTATATCTATTTTTAGCAACACTAAGTACACCATGAATACGGCACATACTAATAAAATGTTCCCAGAGATCCAGTAAGGTACCTCAGATACCATTACAAATCTTATGGAGTGAAGGGAACCGGATGTTATGTGTTTGTTATATGGCGGCTAAGTCAAGTTTTCACTAAATTTTATCCATTTTCAGCACAAGGATACACTATTATCAGAAAAACACAAAAGATTATACCTGAGTTTCAATTTTTATATCTTACACATTGACCGATATTTGCCGTAAAAAGTCAGCTTTGGAAACTAGACTATAAATATTCAGTAAATAAGGGCTTGAATAGTGTTTGGTGGTTTTAAATCATAAGATGACATACATTGAAGGTATTATTCCTGCAAAGTTTTATACCGTTATGTTTCTTGGTTCTTGACTTATTCACGAAAGAGAAAATATTCAAATGGAATTTAAAAATATGTTATATGGGAAGTGGCACTGTAACAAAAAAAAAAAAATTTATTAAAATGTTCTATATCGTATTTGGTTGAAATCGGTAGAGCGGGCTGCGAGATATGTTATTTTACTTAATTGCAGGTGGTGCCTCACCCGGGTTACAATTTTACACTGGCTCGTATAAAACCCTCTCATACAATTTGGGGTCTAAAATTGAATTTCTGTGGAGTATTTAGTTATTGATTTATCGCGTTTCTAGTAGTTTTTAACGGATATATGGGGTGTGAGCGGGGTTATCATCCAACTTCATCTAATTTGGCTATTGTAATTCTTCACTCCTGTAATCCTCTGAATCAAATTGTAGTTCTATATCTTATTTTATTACTCAGCTATGATAAAAATTAAACATTTTCCCTTAATGACGTTTTGTGGGCGTGACAATGGTTCGCTTAGCTTTCACATACATAATAAAAAGATTTACAAATTTCAATATGCGCGCTATCTTGCTATCTTAATAAAAGAAAGTTTTCTTTCCTTATAAAAGTGCTCTTTTGTACTTAGATTGGATAAAATCGAATGAATGCACGCTGTAGACCCCATTTAACTAACAAGACTTTTGTACTGGAAGGCATTAATCCTTGTGAGTTGCAAGATTATAAATGTTCGGTTATACCCGCACTTACTCTTACCTACTGTTTCATACAAATTACTCCGACCCCCTCCCCTTCCTTTTTCGGACTATTGTTTTTTTTTTTTTAATATTGATTAAAAAAGTTAAAGTAATCTAAGAAAACATGAATACTGCTGATGGTAGCCTCACCCTAATGTGCTTTCGTATGAAAATATTTTTTATTTTCATATTGACAATTTCGACAACAACCTCATCACTCTTTTTAGTTGCTGTTCTTGCTTTTGTTTTCGTTGTTGGTGTTGCTGTCAGCAATGCGGCAGTTAATTTAACTTTAATCACATATTCGGTTATTTCATTTTTAATTGTGTCCTCAGCCTTATTTCTCCCCACACACGGGCGCTGTTGTTGTTTACCGATGCTGCCAAAGTGATAAAAACAACATACTTTTTATTACCCAATCGGTGATCATAAAAATGCAGAGTTGAAAAAATCGAAGGAAAGAAGCCGCTATTAAAATGGAGCGGTGCTGAGGAAATGTAGGAAATTCGTGAAATGTAGCGTATGCAAATTTCGCATAACGTCATGGGAGGCGAACGGAACCGGTGGCGACTGGTCAGGCGAGCAAACGGTCGATCGGATGAACGACGGGCGGACGCGCAGACATAAGCTGCTGCAATTGAGTTATAAAAATGCAATGATGCACTCTCAGCGGTGGAGGTGCGCGAAGCGGATTGTCTCCTTTATTATTTATGTGGCGCTGCAAAAGGCGGCAGGCGGTTGTTCGTGCTGGTTGCATCCGCGCGTACCTGTGGTCGATTGGTTGTTGGACTGTGGACTCTTCAGCCTTAACCTCACTAACCGCTCGCTCGCATGTCGGTCCGTTGCAAAGTTCGCGCACAAGCTCAAGGTGGGTAGCAATTTCAATTATTGCGAAACACTGATTAAAAAATGCCAATAAAATGAATGCCTTAAAGGTGTGAGTGATAAATGTGATTGCGCGCACAAAGCCGCGAATGATCCAAAATTCAAATGTATGAAATGCAAACGATTTTCGGGAGTAAATTTTTTTAAATAAAACCAATTTACGACAATGATAACAGGAACTGAAAATATAAAAGAAAATAATTCTCGCAAAGCAAAAAATCATCAGTGGTTCAAAGAAAAATCAATAAGTAGCTAAAAAATAATAATTTTCCCAGAAATTTTTACAATTTTCACTTCTAATTCGTTTAGGCTGAACACATCTTACCAGTTTAGGCCACTTGTTTTTCGTACAAACCAAAGTAGCAATATTTAAAGGCCATTTGGATCCGTGAAACAGACTCAAAGAAAATTACGACACTATATCGCACAAGCAAATGAGAATAACCGTAATTTTCGAAATATAACTTACGAGTTCAAGAATTTTAATTCAAGTAAGTCCCTTAAATATATGAGTTTTGATGTTCAATCACTGTTACTAAACTAGTCCACTACGACTATAACAGTCTTCTTTTTATCCATATCCTTCCATATTTTGTAGACTTATTTGTTGACATCTTTAACATTTACCCTTACTGAATTGAGCAAAAAGACCACGCTGTAGACCATACGTCAGACCCGATCATGAGAGACCTTCACAATATAGACCGAAGCGACAGTCTGCGAGAGAGCCAAGAGGCACTTATTTACCGAAGGATTCCCTTGGAAAATTACAGAAGAGAAGTGGAAATGGCAGAGCTGGAACAGATGAATTCGCTCTTCGCAAGACTGGGTGGAGACCTATGTACGCCTATGCCAACTTTCGATAGTGCAAGCTTATTCAATGGGCTTAAGAAAAGAGTGTAAGGGAAGCGTTTGCGATACATAAAGATCTGTGGGACCCATTCCCGAAATAGGGGACCGTAGTTGCACTCCGTTCACACCGAAGGTTCTTATATATACTAGGAAGCTAGTACTTTCGTCTCAAGAA